TTTAACACTTTAGGGTGATAACAGCTCATTGTTAAAACAAAGTTTACCCATTCCTGCTAACCACAATAAACATTGTACTCTTGAACAGGCATCAGTGACTACGGAATACCTAAATTATACTTTAATTTAAGCATCGTAAAAGATTGAAATGTGCAAAAAATGATGCCTAAATTAAAAATTGGCATTATTGCCAACAAAACTAAAAGTAATTAAGTTTGTCCGCCGATGTGGTGGTTCTATTTCCAGCTGTTTCTCAATGTAATCATGTATGCTGTGTTTTTATCACACTCTGTGTCACAGCTTATTGGTATTACAATTGCGTTTTAGAAATTGTAAAATGTTTAAAATAAAATTGTTTAGTAATGCACCTTTTTTACTGTGAAATTTGTTATTCTTATTGAGCAAATTCTAAATACAGTTCACTTACATAAATTATAGAGCTGTTTCTGTGTTTAAAATAAGTAACAATTTAGTGATTAGTATACAATAAATGGAATTTTTAGTTTCCATGTGCTTAAATTGGAAGGTTCACTTCTAATAGAGCAAATATGGTACAGGAACTATTACTCCATCCAGATTCATTTCACTGACATGTCAATTTATTTCAAACTTGGTACAAAAGTAATGTCATGTCGTGCAGATATGCATGATCAAATATGTTTGGGGGGGGGGGGGTAATTTTTGTTCCATTATGTTCCCAAATTTGTTCTCTGCATGCAATAACTAATTGCTTTTAAAGTTGGTACGAAGACACTATATCATGTAGGCCAGGCCGACTGGCAACCATCGTAACTGGAACCTTGGAGAGGGGGGGGGGGCTTTAAAATGTTAAATTGTGTAGATATTATGTAGTCGGTGTGCTAGAGATTGCTTTAGTGTAAAGTTTCTTACTTAAAGTTGGAGATGTACACAGTTCATTTCATTTGCCTTTCCTTTATTTATTATATTGTCATTATTATATTAACCAATAGAAAACATTGCATTTCTAAGGATGCAATAAAGATATTACCCTATTTATCTGAAATTTAATTAAAAAAAAAAAAAACATATTTAATAAAAAAGCATTCAGAATATTTATGAAAGCATTCTCGATTAGTGTTTTGTAAAAGAATAAAATGTGAATGACAAATTGACTGATATCACCATAATGTTGCAACAGATTAATTTCCCAACTAATCCAGTCTTACAGGCCACTGGTTTGAGTAGATAATACCAACATAAAACTAACAAATATTTTGAGTAAATATATAAACACAATAGCAATCACTGGACAAAGTGAAACAGATGGCATTAGAAGATCAGGCAACTGGTTTTCTATTCAAAACATTAATGCTATATATTACGCAGATCAGAGATCTTTATTAAAAAAAAACACTTTGCAGTGTTTTATGAAATGCAAGTATTTTAAAATTACCACAAATCTAATTATATTAAGTAAATTATGAATACTGAATATAAATATAGAAATATGTAAATAATTTATTGGAAAGCACTGTATAGTTACAGTGACATGTGGCACAATTTGATTGGCTTATGACTCGATTTAGAGAACAATTGTGACTCTTGCAGTTCCTGTGCTAGTTTCAAATAAAATGTCACGCCAGACAATGTATTCATATAATTGTAAAATTGACATATTTTTGGCAACTTTACCATAATCTTTCTGTTATAACCTACATGTATTGTGAAATATGAATACATGTACATATACCCACAGTTAAGAGACTGATATAGCTTAGAAACAAAAACGCCAGTGGGTGGCTGAATTGACCACGGCTTCACTGAGCATTTGATTGAACCTAACCTGTGCATCACACATGCGAGTTTTATGTTAGTAAAAAGCAATTGGTATTAATTGTTGATTTAATTGTTATATATGGAAATAATAAACAGTTTTAATATTGTAAGCAATATTTGTCTGATATCGTATTACATTCAAACTAAACAGCAAACGGTAGACATCGTGACATAATTAGGGCAGTTCTAGGCAGATTATACATGGTGAAAAAAAGGATGCGTGTACCTTTTGATATACTTGTTCAGCCAATTTTTCATGTACATGCTTTGTCGGACTTGTTACAAAGGCAAGTCATAACGCATACATGGCATATGGATACCTGGCATGTTGATTAATTTTTCAGTCCTTTAACAGACTTTGTACTGACAACTCTTGGTGGGTTTCAGTTTGACCTGATTCAAGATGGCTGACTGGTGTTTATTTAGTTTTTTTTTAACGAGTTGATTTCTTAGATGGTGTACATTTCTACAGATTTTCAGTACAGAGGCAACATATAATGGGTTGCATGTTTTCTTCAGTTATTTTTGGGTTTCAATGAAATTAAATGACTGGCAACACCTTATCAACTATTTCTCAGGCATGCATTGATCAATTAGGCTTTGTATAGTGTTACCAGTATCTTGCATGTCCATACCCACCCATCTACCATTAATGTAAACTTAATTCACTGCTAGAAATTGTCAGACAGTAAATATACGTAGTTGCAGTTGTATGCAAAACATGGATAATACTCTAAGCAAATCAGTTAATAGTGGGCTAATAATTTGATGCGGCAGTTCAAGAATACAAATTCAATTTGCATTGTTTTGTTAATGGACCTCATTCAGTTGTTTAGAATTTTCTTTAATGCATCATTACATTTCAACACAAGAACCGTGGATTTATATTGCCATTCCTAATAATGTGATGTCTACACAAACTAAGAGGGTTTGACATTTTAGTATGAACTCCGGAATAGATTAAGAGTCTAAGTTGATTGTAGATGGTAAATCTTGACATGTTGTCATACTACAGTACATTTTGATGGTGATTTTGAATAACTGCCATCATTGTGAAAACAGAAATATAATATCAGACATCTGTTTCTATATAAAGATCAGTGGAAATTGCATCAATACTTGATGTAAGCAAAATCGTTTCGTGGCCAGGGGCTATTTATGAACAGGACAAGCCATATGTCAAATGTAATGGCTGAATGCTTTGAAATTCATTTTCTGTAATGAGAAAGAGGCCCAGGGTAAGAACCAGAAGAGCGATGGGAGGAAATGAACCTTGATTTACATGATGCATAAGAAAAACTTCCTCTTAATTTCCTCTGCAGTGTGACTGTGCTATTGAATGGAACAGGTAAAATGGGTCAACAATTGTGTTATATTCCTTTGCTCATAGTGTTCTTATAAAGTATTAAAATTAAATACATTGTAATATAACTTGTATAATTTTGAGTATAGTACTGATTATTGTACATGGATCTCGTACATTAAATGGGTACTGTTCAAAACTGCCTCTCTAATCTCTCCCAAATGTTTCTGATTGAATATATAACAACTGAGTGAGTCGGGACCCCCTACCTGTCAGAGGAAAATGTTTTTTTTAGGAAGATTCAGACTGAATGAAAAATTTAATGTGATTTCATTTTCAAAACAATTCCATAGTATTAAGATTTTATGAAAATGGTTTAAATTCCTTAAGGGAAAATTGGTGATTGTCTGTTTCATAATTTTTTTACTTCTGTGGAGAAAATACAGAATTTTAATTTTGTGAGTGAAAAATTATTGTGAATTTCACCAGTCATTGAACATTTCATTGATACTGTAAAGGGGGTAATTATTCACTGGGTTTTAATTTAGCTTATTTCGCTGACTGGAAAAATGCGCTAAATTAAAACACAGTGAATATGTAAAATTTAGCATAGAACACATTATCTAAATGACGAAACCGTGAATTTAAAACCCACTGAATATGCCTGAAATGGTAAATCGGTGAAATTTAAACCCAGTGAAAATTAGTCATTTTACAGTATCCTAGAAAACAGTCTTGTAAATATTTTCACAAAATGTTGTATTATATGCCTAGTAATTGCAACAGTAGTAATCAAATTACTTGTCTTGTGGGATGAGAATTGTTAATATTGTTAAAATGTTTTGTTTGTTCCAATTCCCAAATTTGAAATAAAGCAGCTCTTGTGGAGATTTTGTATTTTTAATTTGTTGATTTATTGAACTCGGAGTGATGGTGAAATATTATGATACATCTTGTTGTTTGTTTTAGTATCTTTGTCTAATGAAATTCTTCCATCTGTTCAGTTCTCAGTATTTACAGTAGAGAATGTGTCAACAGTGCTAAAAATTGTACATGGATATATTGTTTTTAGTTTGTTTTTTTGTGAGGGCTGTATTGAAATGTTCTCTGGTACATTGTTCAGAATATATCTAATGTGACATTCAACATTGTCAGTTTATTAACATACCTCAGTAGTATACAGTTAACACCTCACACATGGGCGTTTTTCAGTTCAACTTTCCATGGAGGCTTTCAGCAGGCAATGAGTGTTAACCTTATTAACTAAGTGGTGATCCATGTATAAATTGCAGCTACATGCAATGAGAAGAAGTGAATTAACATTTCATTTTTCAACGTGAAATGACAAAGTTTCAAATACAATTTTTAAATTTGATAGTGTAAACTTTATAAATGTTGGTGTACCAAGTAAAGATAATTACTGCCCAAACTCTTCAAGATTCTACTATACACAGTAGGTACATTAATTTCATCCAGGATTCTTTCCTTTGTGTGTTTGCAGTATGTAGGTGCATCAATCTTTGAACATTTCCTTTAGGCAAGTAGAAATAACACTTCTTATTCTTGTATTCACAGGATGCCATCAAATATGAAAACGGAAGAGAAGTTTGTGGGCAAAGCATCGTTGTAGAATGGGCCAGAGGACCAAGACGGGGCTTCGTGGTGAGCGAGCTTCCAGCTACTCTTATACTGCATGATAAGTTTCATGCTTGTTTTTTTCTATCTGTATGGCTTTATAAGGTGGTGGGATGGTTACTGGGTGTGCTAAGGGAGTATTTGCATACTTTAACTGAATGTTATTGGTGTTTGAAACTCTTCTTACTCGCATCAAAATAATGGATGGCACACAAAATAAGCAATATTGCCAGCTCATGACACTGCGGAAATGTTGAGTTGCACCATTCTCAAAATAAGACATTTTTATTTACTCCAAGGGGCACACATTTAAGCCTGCAGTTTCATACCAGGATTTTGATATATTTTTTTTTTTATTTTGTGTAATTAGCTGTGTAATATAAAGACTATAAAACTTGGGTAGGATATTTTACAATAACAATTCATCTCATTTGTTCACTAGAATATTCTAATATTTTGCCCAATGTACATAAAACGTGGGCCCAAAGTGAACTAGTTATTATATTGTTTTGCACTTGAGAATTGTCATCCGAAATTTTCTAACGATTGAATCCAAATGACGAATGCAGTTTGTGTTCCAGCATCAATATAAACAATAATCAAAACTATTATTATACGAAGTGAAAAACTTTCAATATTATATATATATAATAGATCTCGGTCATTAATTCTTAACCCTTGGCTGGCACTGTTTGCTTAGGCTTGCCATAGATAATTGGAGTATATTTTGCATCCAATTTTCATGGTGTTTTTCTGGTTGAGGTTGCTTTGATGCTTTCCACTGCTTGCAACATAAATAGTAACATATTCACTAGTACATTTTACATTTCCGATCAGTTCTTCAAATTTATGTAATTTTCAAAGCTTTTGATAATTTACCTAAATTAGTTTGTAGCTTGTGTAGTGTGTATACCAATTGCTTTGAATGTTGTCACAATTGTTTCTGTAAAAAAATAAAAAGCAATTGCTTTTGTTGAAATTAAACTCCATTTCAGTGTATCCACCAAGACAAACAATTGCATGATTCACACTGATTTTCCCCCATTAATTTTTAGTGTGTGCGTAATTCAACGATTAATGCTATGTAATTGTGATACAATCAA